CCCCAAAACCCCAAAACCCCAAAACCCCAAAACCCCAAAGCAAATTTAAAAATTGAGTTTTAAATTAATTTATCTATGGTTTATAGGAAATTTAGCCCTACCTTCCTCTCTCTTTCTATAAAACTCAAGCAGCTTCTTCATCTTCTTGCCAAGCAAGGCAAGTTCCTGGTGGAGCTTATCATTAGTAGCACATAATTCGTCAGACTTTTTGTTTAACGAGTAGAAATTAACGTAATATTCTTCCCCAGGTTTGACATTTACCATATTCACATTGTTAAGCTTAGTGTATGAAGAGTGAATACAGATCATGCTGTTGTTCTTCTGAAATTTACTCTTCTTCAAAGAAGGATTACAGTCTGGAGAAGACATCCCAGCACCCATACTAGGAGTTCTAGGCGTTATTTCATCGCTCATAAACCTATTCTCAAGCGCTTGGACTTCTAGAGCTGTTAGAAAGGATGAGTTACTTTGGTAATTCTCTATTGATGCACTCTTTCTCATGTTCTTCCTCACACCTTTCTCTGAGTCCTTCAGAACCCCGACAAGTTTGTTCACTAGGGATTTCGGAATAGTCGTGGCGGGGATAGTCTTCTTGGCACTACCCTTTCTTGCCTTTGAGATCTTCGATGTCTTTCATTTCGAAGTCTTAGAATCTGAAAAATTTGATTTCACAAATGGAGATGAAGTCGTAATCATTCTAATGTTCTTATTTAGTCCTTTTCTTCTTTAGGAAAGGCTGTGAGTCTACCTTAGGGATATTCCCAGGCACATAGATCCTGTTTATTCTACCTAGAGAGTTATGGGAGTGACCTTACTAGAGTTTGTGTGACTTGTTTTTAGTTTTGTTTTTGACAAAGTTGTTTGGTCAATGCTATGAAAAGTTAGGATTCAAAATTTAAAGCAATCCTTTACCTATCTCTGTATAAAGTATCTATATGGTTTCTGTTTCCTTCGATTGTAGTCATCTATCCATACGGGTTAGTCAGATACACAAAAAGAGATTTTTCTGGAACAAAAGCACATTATGATTAAACGGATATCATTAAATTCAAGAATTACCTTGACATTTTTGAACTTTTGTGTTGAAGAAGGCCTATATTTCATAATAAATATCGTTTAAAAGATGTATATAATTCAGATAGGTTGCATACCTATTGCAAACTAATCTCATATTCTTAGGATTCAGTTCTCTCTTCGATTTAGCACCTTCGAGCTTAGATTTCTTCATTGTCTTTTTATTTTTCGAGTCTAGACAAATCTTTAAGTACAAACGGCAAGTAAATTTTCCTTCTAGAGTGAATTGCATATGCATGACCTATTAAATTTCTAGTTGAAAAGGACTTAGATGACAAATTAGCAAAACCCCTAACTCAAGAGAAAGACTGAGAATTTTAAATTAAAGTATCAAAAAGTGTCATACCTGTATGAAAGAGAGGAAGAGCTCCTCTTCTTGAATTCTTGGCTTTACAGCTAGTCACAGCTGTTGGCTTAAAACCTTCATTAAGGTTGAGCTCTAGGTTCTCAAGGTTCCATCTGATTGGATTCATCTCCATTTCAAGGAAATATGAACAAGTTTATTAATAATTTTCAATCTTTTTATAAATTAATGGGGTTTTGGGGTTTTGGGGTTTTGGGGTTTTGGGG